GTCATTATGTGGATGTGTAAATATTGCTCTAACAGCGCAATGTTAAAAAATCCTAGCGCGTTTGCTTGGGTCGATGAATTGTTGAATTAGATAATTAATTTAAAATAAAATAATATAATTATACCTTAAGATCATAGTAATGATAGCGTATATGTCATAATCATAAACCATATATATATGTGTAATTTTTTTTAAATAAAACATTATAGTTGGATAAAATCAAGTTGATCCAATAGGGTCAATACTTATTTGACAGGGTTAAAGTTGAGTCGATTGAGTTTTAGCTGGGTCCCTTGTTACCTAGTCCAAATAATTTACTTGGGGCCTATTTTGACTTCGGGTTCACCAGCATATTGACCAAAGTAAAAAGAAAAAGACATTGTAATAACAAAAGGAAAAAAAAAATAAAAATTGGGACCAATCCACTTTTTCTAATTATTATTATTGGTAGGTCTTTTGTGAGTCATACTCTTGCAACAGATATCCTTAGACTATCTGACGGTTAGACAGTCATGCACGAATGTTCATACTTTTATATTAAGATGTTATATAATATAAACAAGAGTATCATCATAATATAAGTTTTCATTTTTTATAAGAAAGTACGACTTATAAGCACATTTGAGTTTTATCATCATCATCATGAACATATCATTGTTTTAATTATATGTTGATTTGCTAATTCAAGCAAACGGAATATCAAGTGGAACAGAATTTGCTACAATATGCATGAAACTCGAGTCCAGAAAAACTTTTTTCAGTTGAATTTTTACGTATTTAGGAGAGTTTGTTTTGTGGGTGGAGAAGACTAGGGACAAATTATTCTGTTTTGGGGCTAAAGTAACTTTTTAGAATGGTGAAGCGAACAAAATTTGCGTGACTCGAAGCATGTTTCTTAAGTATGATTGTGCTTTCCTTGTTCTCTCTTCTTTTTGCATCGCATGCTTTTTTTCTCCTACAATAAGATGAAAAACAAGCAAAAAATTAATTATCATGCTTTAGTTGCTACTTTACATAAATAGTGGTTCAATTAAGCTTGTGTTTTTTTAGTTATTTTTTATTTATTTATTTATTTATTTTTTTTTGAAGAAGGAGAAGAAAACGAAAATGAATTGTAATTTTGTGCAACTTTCTAAAACGTGAGTGTTAGAAATTTACATCAGTAGGAACTTTGTAAAGATATCAGAATTGTGAAAAATACTAACTGCATGAGACTATAATCTTAAGACTTTGTGAAAATTCTTTTGTGAGACAGCATATGTCATACTATATCTATCTATCTATCTATATCTATCTATATTATTATAAAAGGATGAATGATTTTGTAAAAATAATGATCTGTCTAAAAAACCCTTACTTTGACATATTTTAAATGACAAATTTGTAAATTTTATAATGATTCCCGGTTGCGCCCCACGTCGTCGAAGAATGAGGGTAGCCCGACGTTGAATTATCTTGGAATCATTCATGCGATCTCCGTCGATTGATTTTCGACGGGAGCTCCTGAAATCTCTGTCTCTACAATTTTGTAAGTTTTATGTTATTTCTCTTTAAATTCAAATCAATTGATACTTTGTAGCTTCTTTCTTGGGAAGATTTTTTTACAAATCCCCATCCCTATTCATTGGGTTTGTTCATTGTAATTCCCTGGTATGAGTTCCGACTCAAACGTTGAGCTTCGAAAATTATATCGTAGTAGCTTGTCACAAACACCTTTGATGCCTAAGAGGCATGTGGAGACTTGCCTGAATAATAATAATAATTAAAAAAAAAAAAAAAAAAAGGATTTGGACTCTGCTTGGTTTTTAAATAGTAAGTGGAAAAAAAAGATTTGGATTGAGGGACCTTAAAGTGGATTAGGAATTATGGAGTATCAGGGTGAGAGAATAATTAAGGTTAATTAACCCCTTACAAATGTAAGGAGATTGTGATTTACCTTTTATGTGATAACTAGTACAGAGCTCGTGCGATGCACGGAATGCACAATTTTAAGGCTATTTATCCAGGTTTATAATTATATACATGAATAAAGAAAGGCTATTTATCCAGGCTTATAATTATATACATGAATAAAGAAAAATGTACGGGATATATATAGTACGTAATTCGTGCGAAGCACGAGATATATTTATTTGGAGAATATTATGTTATAAGATGCAATATTCAATAAAAGAGAAAGTAACAGTTTTACTTATTGTTGTTCACCATATAATATTTAATTATTATTTTATTATATAATAAAAAAGAAATATTGTTAAATATTGTAGTAGAATTGTTATAAAATTATATGATCTTTTTTTTTTTTTACAATATGGATTTAATATTTTTTTATGATTTGATAATATAAACAAATCTATACTTAACTTTGACAAATAAAACAAATAAATACTTTAGTAAGCATCTATTACTATATAATACGGAGAAGGAAAAATGTTTGAATAATGTTTGAATAAATATTTCATTTCCCGCTTAAACATCATTTTTTCCCTCTCAAATTTTTCGAAAATTACCTGTTTTGGAAACTCTTTTTGAATTTTTTTCATTTATCCCACCTAACTTAATTTGATTTTGGATGTGATTTATGGAAATCGGATTGTTTTATTTTAGGATAAAATTTGGTTGTTTTTTTGTTAAATTTGTTATAATTCCTTTTCTTTAGGATGAGATGAGATTTGTTACCATTTTTTTAAAATCCGATTTGGTACATTTTTAATTCACTCGCTTTTCCTTTTTTTTTTCGTTTAATTTCACTCGATTTTCCTTTTTTTTTGATGGGTTGAGATTTGGTAAATTTTGTATTTTTAATTTTTTTAATTTTAATTCACGTTTTTAATTTTAATTTCACGTTTTGAATTTTTTCCTTTTAATTTTTTTTAATCCGATTTTTTTTTTCAAACATTCGGTAAAGTTTTTTTTATTTTTTTTTCATAATCCCGCCTACATTTCAATTGTAATTTATTTGGACGTATATCATAATCCTTTTTTTTTAATCGATTTGGTAGGAATCGGATATTTCCTTTTTTTTTGGAAGGGAGTTGATATAAATCGGATAACATCAATTTAAATTAATTAATTATGAAATTTTATTTCCTTTTTTTTTTTCAAATCCGATTTATATTATATAGATAGATTTCACTTCCTTTTTTTGTAAGCGATTACCTTTTTTTTTGTAAGCGATTGTTTCAATTAAACGTGCACTAAGATCGGGTTGACCGAATTAAACAATTTTGAATAATATTAAATTAATCGATTACTATTAAATTAATTTTATTTGATTTTCACGTCTAAAATTTTCCAAAATACTATTTTTATTTTTGTGGAAAATGGCGGTTGGATGAAAAAGTCAAATTCAAATTAAAAAAAAATGTTATTTTGAAAAAGATATTTTGTAAACCTTAATTCATAAAAATATGGTCAATGATAACTTTAAATACAACGGGTAAATATGGTCAATGATATCATAAATTATATTTTATATTCGATAAGTTCAACTTAATTGATGATTTTGTTTGTTAATATTTGCTTAACTACAAAATATTTTAAAGTTTATAAAGAATCTCATTTTATGTAGGTTCTTGGTACTTTTTTATTTTTACATATTCATTTTTCATCCCATATCCAAATACAAATTTAAATGCGGATCTTACATGTTTATTAGAAATATATGTATATTTTTTCAAAAAGTATGACGATCATATAATTAATTTTATCATATATCATATGTTGGATGTTATTAGTTTGGTTGGGACACTCATTATATTCAAATAAATAATATATAATTTTTCATATTTAGTATTTCTTTTTTTATAATAATAAGATGTTAAACATAAATAACTATGTATAATATAAAGTCTTAGAAAAGGTTTTAAGTAAAAACCCCTCCGTGCAGCGCACGGGATACACACTAGTTTAATGTATATACTAAATAGGAATATATTTGGTATAATCAAATACCAAATATAATCAAATAAGTCAAAGTGTACATTTTTATTTGGTATTTGATTTTTTTATTATTAAAATCTTTTTATTATACTTACCTTTTTAAAATAAAACAAATAAATAAATCAATTAAATAAATAAAATATTATAATACCAAAATAGTAATGACATTTAATGCAGTTGACTTTTTTGGATAGTAAATGTAGTAAATAGAATCTCCTTTTATATAAGTATAGATTGTATAATACGGAAATAGTAATGCAATAAATGTTGTTGACTTTTCTTTATACTAAATCTGATAAATGGTATATCTTTTAATATAAGTATAGATTCCATTCGACCAAGTTAAATTAGTCAATTTATGTGATTTGCTAATTGATACTTGGACTCACGAAATGCTTGAGTAGATTCAACTTCTGTTTCACAAATTGTGATAGTCGAGCTTCAACTTACAATGGTGTAATAATCTTTTTCTGCATATATATTTATAGATAATTTGTTTTTCTCATGTAATACTTTTGTAGTAAACTAATGGGAGAAATTAGGAGATTTATTACTCCACCAAGGAAGATTAAAATCATAATGAAAAGGAAAATGAATGTACCAAAGGAAAATGTTAAAGTATAATATAAATCAGAGTGAACGAAACTGAGTAATGGTGGATTTATTAGTGAAAGATTTAATAATAAATGGACTCGATTCTTTTTTTTTGTTATAATTTTGTTTTCTTTTTTTAATTGTAGAGGTAACTACAATTACCTCCTGGTTTAATGTGCTTTACATGCCCAAAAATTGTTACTCTTACACCTGGGAAATTGTCCTCTTCACGATTTTGTTCAAATGTTGTTCAAATGTTCTTGAATATGACCAAGTTAATTCTATAAATTAACTTCAATTTCAGTTGAAATTTTTTTGGGTCTTTCACTTTTATATTAGAGCACTTAACCTTAAAACTCTTAAGCTAAAATAAGAGCACAAATTACTTATATTTCAACGAGTAATAATACTTTATGAAACCCTGTTTTAATCATACTTAATATATGGAAGCAGTAAATTATGAATGAGAAATTGTTATTCTGTTTATAATGTTTGCAAACATTTTGTATATAAATGAGGGGAATGAGTAATTATCGTTTTTCCTGAGAGGTAAATGAATAAACATAGTCTATACTGAAATTTTTATGATTTGATAATTTGTGTGTTCATGATTGGTAGTAAGTGGTTTTTAGTTGAAAATAATTATGTCGTAAAAATGTTAAATCCGTTAAGAAGGCCTCTTTTGTGCTTCCCATTGGAAAAAATTATATATTGTTAAATTGAATATTTCTGTGTCTTTTTCATTTGATCCTAATAAAGTCTATTATGGATAATCATAAGTTTTAACTTAACTCGAATGAGGCTAAGATGAAAAAAAGATACAACGATTTAACTACTTATGATAAGCAAATGTATATTGATAAAACAAATAAATGTCGCAAGGGCCAAAATATGGGTGATGCATGTCTTGATACCGATAAAGTTTCTTGTGGATCGGAAGGTTAGAAATATTTTATCCTATAATACAAAATATATACAACTTTTTATGAGATCCAAATGAGTGGTATATGTTTTTTGATACTTGAGGATTTTTTTGGTTGTTTTATGTTAGATTGTCATCATGCATTTTATTTTTCCACGACTAATATTGTTAGAAATGTAATTGTATCAATACTCTAACAATGTCTTCTGTGTATATTTATAATTAATTTTGATTTACCCATAAGTATAACAAATAAAACTTTCCCTTAGTAAAAAAAATTGCATTTATCACTTAATAAAAAATATATTTACATATTATTGGTTTGTATTATATTTAATGTGATTTGCTATAGATATACTATTATCAATATTTTATTATTATTATACAGAGAAAAAATAAATTAGGCCTTTCATTCATTGATGTGATTTAATAAATAATTGGTTTCTGTCATCTTTTTTTAAGTTCAATTATGAAAGGACATGTATGTTTGGCGATACATGAGTTAGAAAAAAAAGCCCAATTGCATGCATTGCGGTGCTCTGAAATTTCAGTACGAATGTCCAACATTTTGCTGTGATAATGGAAAAGTCAAACTTGCTCCTATTGAAGTCACTGATGAATTATATGACTGTTCACTTCATAGACATAAGATGCAAAACAGTTTCGAGTAAACATTCGTCTATTTATTATTTAACAGCATGTTCTCTTTTACATCATTAGGAGTCAAATTAGATAAAGAACTTGCTTCTTCAAGACAAGGAGTTTATACTTTTCGTGCTCAAGAAGTAGTGTATCATGATCTTCCTAACTTATTACCTAAAGAAGATGGACCTTGATATTTTCAGTTGTATTTTGTAGAAACCGAACGAGAGACCGAAAATAGAATGGGCATATTTCCAAACTCCTCTTTATCTGAATGTACGGTTAACAAACTCATTAGTATTTTGGATGTTAACCCATATGCAAAAGCTTTTAGAAAACTGAAAGACTATCCATCAATGGGTGAAGTTCGGCTCCATATCTCAAAGAATGCCAAATTAGACCAACACATTTATAATTGTCCAACAACCGATCAAGTCGCAGCAATATGGGTTGAAGAAAATAATGTTAATATTCCCTTTGAACATGACATTGTTATCCATGCACATTCAGGTGATAGACATAGAATAAAATATTATTTTGGATGTTATGATCCATTGCAGTATCCCCTTCTTTTTCCAAAAGGTGATGTTGGTTGGCATCAAAAGATTTTGAAGTTAGCTACTAATGAAAGATATATGCAAAAACAAGGTACAATATCATTTTTTTTTTATTTTTTTTTATGTTAACTACTTTGTATTTTATATATTGATATCACATTTCTTTTATTTTTTTTTCAATTACATTTCCAGGTCTCAGTGAAAATATTGCAAGTATCTCATCAATCTCAAGTTGTTCTTGTCCAAATGACATTCTTTCTGTTGGATGCCAAGGTATGCAATTTTTATTAATGAAACATTCAAATTGTATATGTAATTGTCACGAGGATATTACATGTTTTTTTTTGTGTTGTCAAATATTACTAGCGCTTGCTCAAGTAATCAATTCATTTACTTTTTATATTTGAGTTTGTTCTTTAATATGCATGCATGCATAGTTTTTATAATGCTTAGTAATTAATTTGGGTCATAGATCATTTTAGCCAATGTCCATCCTCATAATGCATTTTATTTGAATTCCATGTAATAATTTAATTTTTGTCGGATAGTTTCATTTCTATCTTGGTACTATAATATTATACTTCTGTCATATTTCATAATGTAGCAACGCATTGATGTATTCTATTTTTTTCCTATGTTAGTATTTAAATGTACCATATAGAAATATCTCAAAACTTTCAACCAATAAGAATTTTTTCATTACTTTTCTTTTCATCACAGGAAAAATACTATTATTTCATAGGATACGTGGATAAGGTCATGAATAAATCATCTTTGTGGTATGAATCGTGTAAAAGTTGTGTCTCTGCAATTATGAAGTCCGACAACAGCATGTCATGCAAAAAGTGCAATTGCAAAGTCGTGGAAACAACTTCAAAGCATAACTCAAAAACACCGCATCTAATATTTTAAGTGCACAGAAAGATTTACAAAAGAATGTACAATCATTGCAGATATAGGTTGGTCTTAAACGTCGTGGGAGCTGCCTATAATGCGACAATAACTTTATTTTAGGATGCCGTAATGGTGTACATTGGATGTTCTATTAATAATTACATCAGATCAATTGAGAAGGTGAAATCTATACTCATTTCCAATTCACATGAATGTATGATATTTATTAAACACTTACTTTTCGATGCTCATTAGGGGAAAGAATTATTTGAATATTATAAAGGGTTGAGCTTACAGTCAACATTTGAATTTCAATTCCTCATTCCAGTCGATGATAAGTCGTTCAACTCAAGAGGAGAATTCAAAGTCAACATTTGAATTTCAATTCCTCATTCCATTCGATGATAAGTCGTTCAACTCAAGAGGAGAATTCAAAGTCAACATTTGAATTTCAATTCCTCATTCCAGTCGATGATAAGTCGTTCAACTCAAGAGGAGAATTAAATGCGGTGGCAGAGGCAATTGCAAGGACGCAACTACACATAATGAGGAAATGAATGATAACCAAGCAATTTCTCTAAACAGCCCTATGATCTGTATGTGGATGAAGCCAATTCATAAAAAAGAACCAACAACAGGAAGAAGCGATCCATCAACAAGATATAGAAGATGCAAATGATTGCGTTATTGAATTTGAAGATCATGAGACAATTAGTACTATTAAGAAGAAATGTGCAAGAAAAAATACAAAAGTAAAAGGAAGCAAACCATCTCCAATCATCAACATTAAGAAGGAGAAGAATTGAAGCAACAGTAATTCGTATTAGTTCGTTATTTAGTTAATTCTCTATTTTATAGACAATTTGTTTTTTCATAGTAAGTTATTTGATTTTTATTTTAATTTGGAAACCATTCTTTTTCGAATATTTATGCATTCGTAATTTCATATATTATTTCAATATCTTCAAATTCCCACTAAATATAATTCAGTACAAAAATGGCAAGAAGAAAATGTAAAAGGTATTGCAAATTAATGATATTGTGCATAACTATGCAACTCGGAACAATAACAGAGACATCATTAACCAAAAGAAGAAATCACAAAGCAACTCAATTATTCTCACGTGCATCGCACGTGCACTTTACTAGTGAAAAAAAAAAAACATATGATAGTAATATTAAATATCATATTTCTACGTATATTGCTTTTGAATTATGACAATTTTTCACAAACCTATGTATATTTGTTATAAAAAAATGTCTGAACTAATGGTAGGTAAGGTTAGCCTGAAACAGACTTACCGAAATTTTCGGACTCTTTGGACTCTCGAGAATAGCAGTAGACTTCTATTCAATTCATATATGAATTTAATACAATAATGCTTCTTAATTACTTCCAATAAATTTACAAATNAATGTTTTCAACAGCCTATAAACCCGAGCTGGCTTTCAGGTCATTAGTTCAACTATCAAGTCAGTGTCAATTGGAGATAATTAATTTTAAAATTATATACTATAAACTATTTTTATCTTATAAAGACACATAAAAATAACAAAAATAAATAATTGTATTGTATGTTAATAGCAATCCTAAAAATTTAATTATATTATATCTAGTCATAAATATTTACTACATATATATAATTTTATTTAAAATAATAGAAAAATATATAATGGTCAGGTCAATAGATCTACATGCTATTATACAATCAAAACAAAAAACAAAAGAAAAAAAAAAAAAAAACTGTTCTTGAAGCAGATAATTATTAAAAACAGCCAATTTTATTGGGTGAATTTAAAAATTCCCCATGACAAGTTTGAGTCAAACAGCAAATCTCTGTCCATCTTTGTCATACAACAGAGAACTTGAAGAAACTAAATAGAAATACATTACAGACACAAAGAACTAACACCAAAGTTAATCCTCTCATTACTAGGATACATACAATCTTCCTGTATGCATATGATCACAAGAAAGCTTCACACAAAGAAAATTTCGGCCTTTTCGTCACCGCATTAAAAGCTGAAAAGCTTCGTTTCCAGTCTCGAGTTCATATTCATAACCGAGATTATCTGCACGATCCCTGAACTCGCTCATCTCATAACCGGGCACTTGAATTCCGACCAAGATATTTGCCCCAGTTTCTCCCTGTAAATGCAAATTGAAATGCAAATTCAAAACCAAACTAATCAATTTATAATTAGTTCGAAAGAAAAGAAAAAGGTTGGTTTAGAGATCATTGAACCTGTCCCCTATAATGGAATAAACTTATATTCCAACGTGGACTGAAAGCGTTAAGGAAATTCATCAAGGCACCCGGCCGCTCGGGAAAAATAAAACGGCACAGAAGCTCATTTTCAACATTCGATCGGCCACCCATCTGAATGCAGAATTCAGAAAAATTGTTACAACTTGTTGAAGTGCATTCATTAACCCTTACTGCTGATTCTTATATTCTTACCTTTATATTAATGCAACAATGTGAATTAGGCAACTTTAGACATACTAGCTGGCCAAATTTTATATTCCTACGTAAAACGAGCTAGTGCCTTCAACAAATAGACATGCATCAATAGATCAACCAGTAGAAAGGGAAAGCCAAATTGAGAAATCAAAAATATCTTCATACCAGTTCAATATTCTCCAATTATTTATGCCATTTTATTAATTAACAAAATATAGGGTCAGAATGGAAAGAAAAATAGCAACTTTAGAGAAAAAGCATTCAAAGAAAGTGAGGAAAAAAAAACCTGATATGTGGAAATATCATGACCAGCTGCAATATTTCTCAGACAACTATACACAATCTCGTATAAATGACAGAACTAGAATGCAAAAATCCATAATGTCTTCAAACTGAGATACAATAAGAATGCAGCTCAGATCAACATGACGCATAAAAATCTCGGAGAACAAATGGCTAAACTATCCTTGTTTCGTTAACATCGGCAATTACTTAAATTGTTATTTGCACTTCATCTTGATTTGTGTTACATTCTCCGGTCAGTAGTGTTAAACACACATGCATATATCCTCTACGTCAAAAGATCTTCA